AAGGGCTTGGTGCCCGGAGGCGAATTAAACCTTGATCAGACTTGGTCATAGCGGCGCATCATTATGCCACTCCCCTTCAGCAAAGGCAAATGTTGACATCATGTCCAACCAAATCGGGATAAAGGTTCACATCTCTTACACTTCATGACAAGTGAGCTTGCGAATAATCTCATATGTGTCCTAACAAAAAGCAATGTCATGCAACTGAAGTACGTCGCAATAATTACGACCAGCCATATGTATGTCTAATCAATAAAAAAGATGTATTTAGCGCGTTTGCCATAGATAGAAAATTCCCAAATTCCCAATCCTTACTTTCTTCTGGCGTCGACAACACTTTCATAGACATAAAAGCATTCCTTTTTCCAAGCAAAGAACAACAGCACCAAAGCATAAAATCAGACTGGCCACGTCCGTATAATAATCTTACACTCTGGTTCTTCACTGTCGAAACAATTACTTCCGTATCGCTGCGCTCATCCTTTAGCGACGAGGATAAAATAAAGTGAAAATATAGAGGTTTTTCGGATACTTCGAATTGTCCACATGGATAATTTAACGATTTTGTTACGACTTTACAAATCCTTTGTTTTACCTAAACTTGAGTTCTGCTCACAACTCTGAGGTCCGAGTAAAGCTAAACATACTAAAAAATTTGAAAGGATTCAGAAAGTTTTCACTAGAATTGTAATGAGGAGATGTACCCCCGATTGTACCGCTCTGAGTTATCATGACCGCTTGAAAAAGCTGGGACTTGAATCTCTCGTTTACAGAAGAGCTAATCTGACCTGTTGTTTTGCTACAGAGTTCTAAAACGTGAAGTCATGTTAAATCCCAGCGATTACTTTATCTTCTAACTTTTTTTTAACTCTTCAACTTTTTCGGATCTTTGTGCCTGCTTACGATAGGGAAGGTGGTTTCAACTTGCATTACCGAAAAGTTGAGAGGAAACAACCTATTATTCGACTATATTTTTTGTCGGGGAGCTAGATAGTTACGATGGATACCTCGCGAAGTTTGTGCTGACAATTGTGAAGCGTTCAAAAGGAAACTGAGGAATGTGACATTTACCAATTACTGAACAATCCTCTGTGACTTATTTCTGTCTGCTTTCATTACGGGTCTGCTTGCTTCTAGTCTATTCTTGCTGACCCCCGCTTGTTAACTCATGTGTTTCCGACTTTGCTTTCCCCACTTCGCTCTACGACAGCCGCTTTCGTGAAGCCCTTTGCTACTATGTCGGTTCACGACTTCATATGTTTTTCGTTAACGTGTTTCGCATTTCTCGGTTTATCGTATTTACTAACCAGCTTTGGCTGGCTTGTCACCCACATTCGGATGAGCAAAAGCACTGCTCCTTGGAACTGTAGACAGCTGCGTTTCATGCATGGCTTTCCCAGAATAAGGCAGGTGTATCCAAGCGTATGTAATGTCAAGTTAGTGATACCTGGCAGGAACCAATCGCTGACGTTTTGGACAGTCCGAAAAGTGGCAGTCGCATTCCCCAATGCCAATCAGCTGACCTCACTTGACCAAATGAAATCATTTCTTCCTCGACGCCTGCGGCCCTTATTCGCTGTTTGTTCCTGCTGAAGTCGACAGGCTAGTCTATCTTACTCTAGCAATGTTCTTTACTCACACAGGCTTTGGCTCACGTTTACGTGTATGAAATAAAGATAAAGATAAAGACAAAAATAAAGATAGTGCGACTGTACTTCTTCCATGCTTTTACATCTCAATCTAATCAGGTATGTAACAAAATGGTCTCAAAACAAGTAAAAGCATCTCAATGGCCAAAATCTGATCATCGAATGAATATCGAGCTTTCACGCATGTTACCAAGTATATTGCAAGCAAGAGGGTCTGTCGTATAACGTTTTAAAGAAAATTCATTTATTTATAACAAATGTGGATAAAAGTTTGACGACACGCTAGTGTGACAGTTACAGCTTTTTTGATTTATGCTACAGTCAAGCATGTGAACAATCTCTCAAAACAACGTAAAAGCACGTAACAATGACCACGAACTGTTCACGTTGTAAAAAAACGCAATTTAGGAATTATATCCATCCATGTTACATAAAAACACAAAACTTCATTACATCCATCTATGTTACACAAATCACAGAACTTCAGTTGTCACTTGTTCATCGAGATAATGGTCATCATCAAACTTGCTTCGCTAATTCTAGATGAAAACTTTCTATTTTGAGATTATGTGCTTGATTGTTTGCATTGGATAAGATAGGTACCTCCGGTAAACTGATGCCTCCTTGTTCGACTTTCATGTCTTTGGAAAGTCAGTAGAGGGGCGAAACTTTCTTCGCATCATATTTTTTGTATAGCGTCATATCGAAAATGAGCTTCCTGCTTCTTCAATAAATTTGAGCTGGTACAGGGTGACCACCTTCACTTTTGGGTTTGAAAATTTTTTTTGCTAAAGCTCAAAAGAAGGAGAATGAGCAAAAAAGTGTAAAAGAAAGTATCAAGAGCATATATCTGTGTAGTAGGTCGATCCAGGCAGTAACCGCCGAGAACCAGAATTTCGAATGATAAAATAATGAAGAATCGTGAAAAATCATTCCACTGTTACAAATCTGCTGGCTGAAGACCTCCGCAGTTGCAACTTCATAGGTTTTGAAGGGTAAGTGTTGTTCGACCAGATAGTGAAAAAATCAGTTTGATTTGAGGAGTGGCCGCCGAGAACGAGAATTTTGAAAAACCATAAAAATCTTCTCAATTTTAGGTTGCTTAGTGACAACTGACATTTAAACTCTTATAAATCCGGACTTTGAAGGTGTGTGATGCTAAGACTTTATAGGTTTCGTAGGGTAAGGTTTGCCCTATCAGAATATGTCTTAGCTGTACCGATCCATTGAAACGTCGCCGAGATCCAGGCTCTTAAATAAGCAGGTAAAAAACCGTTTTTCAGCTCATAACTTCTTCAGAATTGCATAATTCATGTTGCGACTTCATAGGTTGGATTCTCCTCATCAAGAGCTTTCAAATAATATATAATATGTGGGGGATTCACGCCTCCCACGGCAAATGCTCGGGGGTGGAGTACCTCTCTTCACTGATTCTCCACTGACGGCCTCCCGCCAATACATTGAAATGGGCGGGGTGGAGAAATAGTGAAGAGAAGTACTCCACCCCGGGTTAGAGCCACAAGAAACATTGAATCTCCCACATATTATATATTATTTGAAAGCTCTTGATGAGGAGAATCCAACCTATGAAGTCGCAACATGAATTATGCAATTCTGAAGAAGTTATGAGCTGAAAAACGGTTTTTTACCTGCTTTTCTAAGAGCCTGGATCTCGGCGACGTTTCAATGGATCGGTACAGCTAAGACATATTCTGATAGGGCAAACCTTACCCTACGAAACCTATAAAGTCGCAGCATCACACACCTTCAAAGTCCGGATTTATAAGAGTTTAAATGTCAGTTGTCATTAAGCAACCTAAAATTGAGAAGATTTTTATGGTTTTTCAAAATTCTCGTTCTCGGCGGCCATTCCTCAAATCAAACTGATTTTTTCACTATCTGGTCTGGTTTCACTATCACTTACCCTTCAAAACCTATGAAGTTGCAACTGCGGAGGTCTTCAGCCAGCAGATTTGTAACAGTGGAATGATTTTTCACGATTCTTCATTATTTTATCATTCGAAAGTCTGGTTCTCGGCGGTTACTGCCTGGACCGACCTACTTTCTTCGCAGTACGTCATAACAAAATGTACTTGATGAAAGACACAAAGTCTAGCTGAGTATCGCTCACAAATACACTATTTCATTGACACCTTTATTTAGAACCAGTGCTTCGCCTCTGCTTCGCAGAGGCTCGCACTGGCCCTACTATCTGTATGCCTTACTCATTCTCGCACAATAATGACATTGGAACACACCGTGCTATGCGGACTATCACGAATGATTTGTAAATAACTATTCATTCCAAAAGCTCTTCCAAATGAGATCGGTAATTTCGAATGAACGAAACTTTTCTCGGAAGAAAAAATGCAAATTTGAATCGGTTTTTGGATTTTTCATGGCTTGATAATCGCCATAAGATGCCATAACCACCGTGGGCTACATATCTGTGCAAAAATCTTCTCAAACGATCGGGAAACAAACGTAAAATCTTGGCAAATTGGACATTTACGCAATCAATCCTTTTTGGCGTCGTTTTCGCAAAGTAATAAACTTTAGCTTGATTTTTTGGCTAAAGTCTCTGGCTTGCACATTAACTTGTCAAACATATCCGTGAATTTGCAAATAGTTGCGCTACAGACTCAATTTTACTGGCCAAAAGCCAAGTGGATCCGGTTGACGCGCATTTTTTGAGGGATCCACACAGCGGATCCGCTCGTGCTTTTGTATATTAGACTCTCATGTTGGTAGCAGGCGCTGTGCAAAATTTGGGCTCAGGAGGTTGGCTGGAACACGTTTTACGAATTTCGTGACAGACAGACAGACTTACACACACACAAAAACACGTAAACATCCTTAGCCCGTTGTTATGAGTTATGATATTTATGCAGTTGTACTCATCGTATTTGTGGCCCTAAAGAGGGCCCTTGGGTCACAGTTATTGGCCCTAAAGAGGACCGTCGGGTTAGAGCTCTTCAGTTATCCGAAGTCATCATGAAGCTTTGCTCTATCGTAGGAAGTGCTGAGGCGTATATGTATGCGTCCATGTCGGTGATGACCTTCAGGTGCTCGCAGTGGGCGACGGCGACTTCCTAAAAGTAAACAACATAGAATATGCTCTCAATACTTTCTTGCGTTCGTTTTGCTTAATTTCCTTAAAACCCAAAAGTCCGAAATAACCCAAACCAGAAAAAACCAAAAAAACCCAAATCAACCCCCCCTCCCTCTCTACCCCCCCCCCCCCGGTCAACGCTTTTGGGAGGTGAGTGTCCGGCACTACCACCTTCACTTTTGGGGGGCCCGGCTCCACCTATCGCACCTCTGCCCCCAACCATCTGTGCCGGGCCCTGGATGCTACCTACCTCATGTCAAAAGACCACTGCGACTTCTGGCAAGTCCCTTATTAGATCGATTTTCCGCTTTGATGTTCTACTTCAGAGGCGAGAGGCTTGAAATTATGCGTAGTGACGCATATTTCATTCTTTTAAAAACATGATAAAATTATTATGATGAGTTTTGAAGTGGTACAAAAATGTTTTCAAGTTCTCGTGTTTTCTGCATCTTTTCAGGGCAGTGTCTTACCAAATAGGTAGTGTGGGTCTTCGTTTTCTTAGAGGGCCCATAGGCTTTTACCCAACTGTAATCGGCCTTCTTTATCCGGAGAAAATTGCACTAAAATTTGCTCGCAGAGAACGATTTGGCCCGCATTGGCCGACACGGCGATTCCATTCGCGTTTCCACACGTTCTTCCAGGCGAAGGCTTTCCTATTAACGTATCTACGGATTGCCGCGGGCGGGTGTAAGGCAACGGGCATAGTGTCCACGATTTCGTCGCCGCGATTTCATCGCCGGGGAAATCGGTGGTTTGGGCGACGAGATCGCGACGACGAAATCGCCCGTCGCGCGTGCATGGGCATAGTGTGAGCGATTTCGTATCTTTGCAAACACAGGGCAGTTGCGCGCAAACTGAGCAGAGTATTCTCGTGCGATATGCGTTATTTCACTCACTTCACTCTTAACATAGATCCCTTATGCCAATCGTGATGAAATCGAGTACAAAGAATTCCCACATTTTGCCACCTTTCAACAAATCCAATTTTCAGGAGCTTACCAGTTCTTAGCACAGTGAATCTAACTTGGGAATGTCTGCCTCTGCAGTCAACAGCTACTATTAAGACACTCTTCACCAAATTTTTAGGTAGAACAAGCTAGTAGGTGGATTTTGTGGTGCTTTAGCAAGGACCCACATTGAACACCTTTTCAAAAAGTCGAGCACAGCATCACTGCGAAGATAGCGAAAACACATGCATAAATGTTTGGGTTGTTATACGGATAGTGAAACGTAAGAACATGCAAACAAGCAGAGTGATAATGTATTAACTCTGCGAGAAGCAAAGCTCCAACACAAAAACCACCCAGAAAACAATCCAGAAAACCATCTCGTCAAAAATGCTTACACTTTCGAAAAACGTCATCCGGCAATTTAAGGTTAGGAAAAGGCGTCGAAATTAGAAGTATCTTTGTACATCTAGTTCAAACAAGTTCCATTTCTTGTTCAAACAAAAAAAACTGAAACACCAGCGCCTGTCTATAAAAAATCCTCAAGATGTCCCCCGCACCTCAGCGATATCGCTTAGTCGCCCGTGCAGCACGCGCGACGCGACATCGCTGAGTTTTGTCGAAATCGCGGAGATTATCGCTGCAGAACTATGCCCTAGCTAAAAAGGGTCCGCGAACCGTCGCGCCGCACGAGTGTCACAAGCAACGTAGCAGACACCGAGACATGCAATGAGTGCGTAACAGTTGTCGTAATTCAGGAATCGCAGCGCGACGGTATCGTGGACACTATGCCCTAGGCCTAAGGCGTTAGGCGACAAACCCGATTTCCTGTACCCCAAAAAACTCTCGATGCAAAACGTCTTCGGCGTCGAAAACAGGCGGGAAGGGAAGGAGGGGATCGCGGCCGATATATAACAAGACGAATCTTAAAGCGCACGGTTGTGAGTAACGGACTTTACTTTGCCCGCGTTTTGTACGTTTTGTCGCCTAATGCTTGCCCTTCGCCGCAAGCTAACAATGCGTCCAAGTTGCCTCTTCGAGGCTTTCGAAAAACTAAGTTCTGAAAATTTTCCGCAAATCTGAAAACGTGCAAGGTTAGACGGGTTTGGGAGGGTATGTAAGCAGAAATCCCGACATTCATTTATTGAGACACTACCGGTAAGCCGTTCACACAAATTCCTAGGCTGATGGTGGAGGCGCCCCTTTGATAAGCTTTCGTAGACAGTAAACATCTCATAATTAAGGACGTCGCCGCTGTCGCAGTAGAATAGTACGTGTGCCATTGACAATCTCAATACTACAACATATTAAAATGTTTTATAAAATGCTTACTTCATTAGAATTTATTCTGTTTGCAGCATGTTAATGAAGCTCCTGTTGGTCTTTGTTGTACTGCTTTCTGCGATAGCTAGCAGTGAGGCTCTTTCGTGTGCGATTCCAAAAATAGGAGGCATTTTGTGCGATCTCCACTGCCGTGGACATGTAAGTCTGACTTCTGCAGTCTACAAGGATTTATAACGTTAGGTTGGCTAAATGTTCCAGTAGTTAATGCACGTTCCTCGCGCTAACGCCGCAGTAGATGACAAACTCAGAAGGCATATTGCTAGGCAAGGAAAGTTCTACAGGATGGCATTCAAACATTCGCAAAGATCTCGTTCAATGTGTTTTTGGAACAAAAATCTTTAGTAAGCACTCCATCAGCTCACTTGACTTAACCTGACCCGGTCAGGAGAACTTCGTAAGTTAATTACAACGCCCGCCTTAACATGCCTCAAGGTGACATGTCGAAGAATCCGGTAAAGTGCCGCGCTCAATCCAAACTTTGTCGTAAGTTGAAGGTAAAAAGAATGTGCAGAATTGGAAAATCAGAAACCCGTCAATTGCCCGTAAGTAGCCTACGGGGAATACCTAAGCTCACATCTTTTGCTTTACAAGAACCGCAAAACTACACAATACCGAGCATATATAAAAGAAGGTCGATGAACAGCTGATCGCGGCCAAGAAACTCGCGAATCAAATAGTGGGTAATCCTTTCGTTGGGTGTTTGAGCGTAGTCCAAAATTGGTCTCTTCGATCTCTATAGCACAGAATACAGACTAACGTTTTGGCAGACTTGCCTTCTTCAAAATCTAAAGTGTCGAAAACACATGAGTAGATTATCCGATAAAACACCTCATCGACTACAGAATAGAGCCCAACCCTCTAGGAAAAACAATAGTCTCAACCAAAACGCAAGATTAAACCGGTGATCACCTTAGCAGATGATAATTTGATGGATGCAGATCACTTATGACAAAAAGCTGCAACTAACATAAGTTCAGACTGCAGACTTTGAAAAAGGTGAGTTCGCCGAAACGTTAGTCTGTTTTCTGTGCCACAAAGATCTGTATAGGCCGTCTGCGCTGCGCACGGAGTGCAACGTGTTGCGTCCACTGGTGATAGTTTATGACTGGAAGAAGCGCAGAAAAAACAGGCGGCGGGAGTGCACGAGGAAAAAGGAATGACGCGAAACACACACCTTGCACACTCTTCGCGCCCTGCGCGGACGGCCTATACCAATGATATGATTGATAAAAACGTGCAAGCGATTTGTTTATACCTGTAAATAATTAATTCAATTATTTATATTTTTTCAAAAGTTTAATTTAGCCTTGTAAAAAAAATTTTCTCGGGGACGTAGCTGCCATCACGTCCCCCTTCTTCTGAAATTTCGGGGTTATGCCCGCAAAAATCTCAGCGAACAAACCAACGAAATTTTCGGAGTGCGTTGAGGCCACGCAGTTTCATTAGAAAGAAATTTTTGTCCCCCCCCCCCCCCACACCAGTCTTAAACTACGCTCAAACAACCAACGACAAGATTACAACTATGCAAAGATTTATGGTTAGCCGAACATGGATGCTTGAAAAGTCGGTTTATTTCTCCTTTTTTGAGATTCACTTTCCAGAAATATGACAGACGCTTGAGGTAACAATTATTCCTTTTTCTGTTAGCTACAATCTTGTAAGCTGAATGTGTGTTTGTATGTCTATATGTCTGTGTGTACGTACGTACGGAATAGAAATTTTTATTTTCGAACCGATTTGGACCAAACTTGGCACACATACTCCGGAGCGGAGAATGTGTCAGAGGCTCCCTTTCGTTATCGATTTTTATCGATTTTTTGCAAAGTTCGAGCTACGGGGCGGGAGTTGGCAGAGGGGGGTAAGTGATCACGCTGATTACTAATACAGCGGGAATAGAGAATTGCATGTAAAGTGGGCCAGGGAAAGGTTGTACAGGGAGAGGGATGAGAGCTTTATCATAGTGTTTTGAAAGAGCCGAGCGGAGCCAGGTAAGCCAGTTAGTTTCAATATAGATAACTAAATAATTACCACCTTGCTTTGTTTCTCCGTTAGTTTGAGATGTTTGCTAACAGCCAGCATCAGTTTTGTGATAGTGGTTGCTATCAGAAATTGCCTGGCAATGCAGCAAAAATTGTTCCACAAGTTGGTTCTGAACAATGCTCGTTGAATCTCAATCACCCATCTATTTGACCAGATCCTGCTCAGCAGTTTATTCTTAATTAAACACATGATTTATGTCTTTGAAGAGATCCGCATCCAGATTGATAGCTCGATGGATGCTGGACCAAAACCTTGCACTTTCAACTCAGGCCCGCCTCGGGCGAGTTGAGCTGAAAGGGGTTACTACGTGCCAAGATCTTGAAGAGGATGACCGAGAACTGAATTTCCATTCAAAAAGCTCTACGTTGTTCAGATAACATTCACGTCAGAAATTTCAATCTGCAAATACTTTGGATTCCTCATGACTAGAGACCGAAAAACAGGAATGGGCCAATAATAATGATTTGTCTCTTTTGTGCGTTCTACTTGCCAAAGCTCTTCACTACCGCACTCAAAATTTCAAAGTTTGTGGTATATAGTATACCACACACAATTTTTCAGAAGACTCCAGAAGTCGTGTGCGTCAAATTTTTGCGAATGTCTGAATATATATCTCGTTTAGCCCACTCTGCCGTATTCAACAATATGTTTCCTATTCTTTTCATTTACTCTGGGCGTTAGCGCAAGGAACGGCATCAATTCATTTAACATTGCGCACTTGGTTGAAGTAGATCTGGACAATCTTGAAAATATTCAGTCTCAGCTGGTCGCCTTTCCTGTCATCAACGTTACATGACATTACATCTACAAATCAATTATTATAAGCACATAAAATAGATTGCTTTAGATATGGCGCTAAAAAATTAGCCGACTTGTTCTCTGAAATAATGTGTCAAGTTGCCAGCTACTAATCAAACGCACTTTCAGGGCTGGGGACCGGGACACTGCAGCTCTGAGAACGTTTGCAGATGCGGAGGATAAAGAAGATCTGTTCTTATAAGCTTAAATAAAGCATTCAAGCAGTTTTACGAAGTAGGGATTCCTGCATTTTTGACTTAAGAAGCATTCTCAAACAGTCTTTCACAAAAGAAAGCGCTAAAGAGAAGGAAAGGAAGCAGGTTTCTAGTTAGTAAAAGAATAAGGATTCTAAACGCAAAAGGTCCTAAAATTATGTCCATCTTTCTCATACACTTTGACAGTGAAACCGCCATAGTTAGTCGCTGTACAGATAAAAATACACTGAGACTGGTAGCGCTCTCAGAATTTCCCCCAGCATGAGAACAAGTCTTACACCTCAAAGTGTATAGAAGCAATAAAAACTTACTGCATTCACGACACCTGCTCAGATAATCGCCGGGGCAGGCTGTCACGCGATTTATGGGCGGGCGGGCACCGGAAAAATAGTTCGCTGATTTCTTGAGTCCGCTTGCAGATATTTGGAAGAATTTTAACGAAATTTTAGAAGAATGCTTGGAGAACAATCGCGGTGTGCTTATATTAGGTCATTCCGAAAGTAATTTCGCTTTTTTCAAACGGGCGCCACATGTGATGGAACAAAGGTTTTTAAGAGATCTTGGATGCGTTCGATGCAGCATTTCATTCTCTTTCTAACGGTTTTGAAATTGTTGCAAAACAGTCAATGAGCTTTCAGAAAATAATCAAAATCTGCGACCCATGCTTTTTGAGATGGTCAAGTTTCACGATTTTTTAAAACTTTCCTTTCAATCCTCAAAAGGATTTCAAGTAACGTTTCGATAGAGTAAACCTCATAGAATACAGCATTGCTTTTTTCTCCTTTACTTACATTTTACTTTACATACATTTTTAACAGAATTTTAACTGATGCTACCGATTTCCATACTTGAGCAGCTAAATCCTCGTAGAACATCAAAAGAAAGGCAGCTCGCACACTATTCGATGCAGCATTTTCTCCTCTTTCTAATAGGTGTTTCATGTTTCCGATCCGTTTAGTTTCCGGGGAAAAATCATTATAACTCATTTTTTTAGCGAGTCCCAGGCTGTACCCAAAAAACTCAAAATTTGATATTTCGAACCCGTAAACCCTCACTTGCTTTGTAAAATTAATGATAACTCATAGTACCATCTTGGTAGTCTCAAATTCCGACAAATTATGATGTTTGATGCGATTGTGGCTGAGGTGGGCCTGCCAAAATCCGATGGTTCTGCTAAAAAATCTTTCAAAAAATTACGGCGAGATACGAGAAAGGGAAAAAAGTAGTGCTGTTTTCTATAAGGTTTACTCTATCGAATCGTTACTTGAACTCCTTTTGAGGATTGAAAGGAAAGTTTTAAAAAATCGTGAAACTTGACCATCTCAAAAAGCATGGGTCGCAGATTTTGATTATTTTCTGAAAGCTCATTGACTGTTTTGCAACAATTTCATAATCGTTAGAAAGAGAATGAAATGCTGCATCGAACGCATCCAAGATCTCTTAAAAACCTTTGTTCCATCACATGTGGCGCCCGTTTGAAAAAAGCGAAATTACTTTCGGAATGACCTAATAGATTATTTGCGGCGCAGTGGCCGCATTCTCGCGGACTTTCCGCGAGAATATTCAAGATTTTCGGGGGCCGCACGGACCTTTGTGGAGGACCGCGCACCCCCAGGTACTTTCTGCTGAGAGAATGTACCTCAAACTTGAGTAATTAAACCAACGGTGACACCTCTACCACACAGAGTCTAACCTGTCCTCGACGTAAGCCCAAAACTGCAAAAAGAGTCCAAGCGCCTACTGAAAGTTCGGCTAGCGTTTGCTGGAAGAGATTATTCGACGAGCGCCTGCAAAAAATTCTGTGTTGCTGCCCGCTGGCAGAACATTAGACAGTAAATGAAGTACCGTCGCTGTAGATTTGGCCACGCCCCAAAATTCTGCTGAACGCTTGCAGAAAAGCGTGAGTTTGCAGACCGCCTGCCCCCGGCGATTATCTGAGTGTGTGACTTATCACCACAGAAGACATCGTTTGAGTTTGAGTAAACCATTCCTAAGGCTGAGCAAAGTTCAGCTATTTCTATGCAGCCAAGATCATATTCTTCTCTTTATTAAGCATGAAGATTTTAGACACGTTAAAGCGGCTATTATCCTGGAAGAAAAGTGCGTCGGGGGTTTTATGTTGCATCAGAAATTGCATGTAATCTACGGCTCACCTCAAATATATTTTTTTCATGTTTTCAGTTTCTGATGTAATGGCACAGCAATGCGTTCTGTCGAGTCTACATATTAACACTTCATAGATGCTTGTATAGGGCTGTTTCAAACTGCCGCACTGACCGCAGCAGACTGCAGCAGACTGCAGCAGACTGCAGCTGACCGCACTGACTGCAGCTTACTGCAGCAGACTGCAACAGACTGCAGCTGACCGCACTGACCGCGAAGCCGCACAGATCGCTGCATCCTTTTGAAGGTGAAGAGGATAGATAGTTGTAACTCAAACAGTCTTTTAACAATATATGCCCCAATAGAGAGCACGAGCGGAAGTAAAATAGGTATATGCAATGACAAAAGGAATCAGAACAAATATGAGCATGTTGAAGAAAAACAATCGCCAAAATTTAATTGAGAAGAGTAAGTTAGAACCTATGAACTTTCTAGGCGTAAATCACAGTGTTTTGATGTATTTGCAGCTGTTTTCTCTTTCACGAAAAGATGCAGCAATTGTGCGGCCGTTGTAGTCAGTGCGGTCAACTGCAGTCTGCTGCAGTCTGCTGCGGTCAGTGCAGTCAGCTGCAGTCTGCTGCAGTCAGTGCGCCATTATGAAACAACCCACAGGCGCGACGATGTGTATGACGAAGGCGCAATATCTTCGAGCATTTTGTTTAGCCGCAGAGCGCATGAGGCGCAGGATGCAAAACTGTGAGGATACTGCGCGTCGCGTTCGCGGACGCTCAACTGATACTGCTTTTGCGCCTTAGTCGTGCAGTGGTCTTCACCTTTTTCGTTTTGTCATGCGAGCAGTTAAGTGGCTTCGCTGTGCCTCGCGATTTGAGGCTATGTCACACGATTATCTCAGGTAATGCGCAACAAGTATGGTCCTTGGCTCGTTATACGATTTGGAATGATGTGGCTGGTCAATTTAGAAGACTCTGCGCCTCGTACTGGTGAAACTAACAAGGGACGCTACCTAACTCAACTCGGCCTTTTGGCAAGGGACATATATATATATTCTGAATCAGCTTCAAACGATGATTTCAAATATGCTCTTCCTGGCTGCCGCGCCCATTCCGAAGCGAGTTATGTACTTCTTCATGCGCAAAACTGACATACTACTGACCACGGGAAAACTGCCTGTAGATAAAAATATGCAAAAAGAACGTGTTGAAGCATTGAAATAGCACTAATTCAATCTCTTCTCGTTGCAAAGAAACTCAACGCAGGTGTATTACTTCGACGAAGATACCATGATGTTAGTGAGTCGATGAGTATGCCAATTTTGCACAGAGAAAAGTACATAACTCACTTCGGAATGGTGCGCGGCAGCTAGGAATAGCATATTTGGAATCAGCGTTTGAAGCTGATTCAGAATATATAGTTCCCTCGCCAAAAGGCCAAGTTTTAGGTAGCATTCCTTATAAGTTATCTATTGAAAATACTTTGATTCCTCGGTTATTTTCATGCTTGTCTTCCATCGGTCTGCTTTCAAGCTTTAGGTACCATTTGGTAGAGCAGCTTCAACTTAAATCTACGGCATGGATCGGATTAGCGACGGCTCTCCATTACTATAGGATTACGATAGGAACTTTTAAGAGGGTTCGAGCCATGAAAGGTCATGTTCTTTAAGAGGGTTTGAGCCATGAAAGGTCATGTTTTGCCTCAGAAAAAAAACAAAACAACCTGAAAACTCTCATACTAAGTTTATCGAAGTTGCTGGTTCTAAATGTGAATTTTGCAACTTATCACATCATCAAAGAAGTTATGAGCTAAGCAGTAGCGGCGGTTTTTTCATATTCTTAAAAAGTGCGGTTACATCTTTTAAAAAGCTTCGCAAAGCTTCATGACCATAGTTGAGTATTGATGTCAGCATCATAAAAACCCTATTACACAAGTTTTTTTTTTTAAATACGAAACGGCAGCTTTATTCACAGTAATACCATATGCTTAAGGTTTCTACTACTCCTACAGTAATGTAGAGCAAGGTGATTCGCTATACGTATAAGTTGAAGAGCCCTATAAAGGGCCTAAAGGCCGATGCTTAGAGTTTTTCGCCAATTGGGAAGTATGTCTGTGAAATTCAATGAACGTCTCAAAATTAGCAACCAAGATCTTGAAAATATCAAATAAACAGCGACGTTGGTACCAAAAGCGATTTCAAAATAGTATTTCGGTCGAGCAGGCCTTACAATTAAAATTAGTGACTCAAACGGATTGATATTGGAGTTTCCAGCATTTTCATTTTTATTTCCGAGAACTTTTTCACTTCAAAGGCAGGGCACTGCTTTAAGTATTTGTATCTTAACCCTAGAATAGTAAACAATGACTGCTGATTGTTTTGCACTGTATATGTAGAGTGAACCCAGATCTACAATTTGCAGCTCAAGGTTCCACAATAGCTTCAAAAGCAAAAGAGCTATTGTTTGAATGGGTATGTCTCCACTGCCTTGAATTCAAATTCGTAGTACTGTCCACTCAAGAACAATATCTTGGGAATGTAAAAGACAAAGATTATAATTTTTTGAGGGATTATAACAACTAAACGAAGAACTCATATGTAAATTATGATTGCAAGGAGAGGAGTACAACAAAGTTATTACGTTGGAATATTAGGCATGAGAACTTTTAGAACACCCTATATATTGGGAAGCGCAACAAATAGCGAAAAAGCAGGAACATAAGCGGACCTAATGATATAAGCATATAGGCACGATAGTCATGCATGTAAGATTGCAGGATGCAAATAGAAATTTTATCACATGGCGCATAATATCGAAAAAAAATAAGAAAAATGATGTGGTACACCAACTACTAGTCATCACAAAAGTTCCTTCGTTTTCGCACCCTTGAGTTGAAACG